ACTGAGACCTGTCTCAGATATTTGAGGTTCACACTTTTGGCAACCACAGAGAGATTCTGAGTGAAGGTACCCCCTGACCTTTGACAGATCTCCTATTGGTGCTTGGTACCAGCATGAACTAACTTTAAAGCTCAAACCAATAGGACAATTTGCTGAGGTGTGGGAACATTCCCCTCATAGAATCCCTGATCTCCTCGAATTTGGTGTACATCTAAAGTTTATTTTGCTGTACAAGTTCCCCCTCTTTTTTTGGAGTTCTACTTGCTTCCAACAGGAAGGCAAGAGTTCCTGCTTCCATGATGATGGAAGGCAGGTAATTCTCTTATGGAGCTTGAGTTTGCTCTCAGCAAGAAGATGAGTTCAAGTTTTTTCTTGCTTCTAGGATGGTAGAGAGTAGTTTTCAGCCTGAGACCCGCCCCAAAGTAAGTAGCTGAATTGTGGCTTTGTCTTGGCTAAAGTTTAACAGCCATCTGGTCTGAATTTCTCCCTTACCATTAGAGCACTCAGTGATCATATTGTTGGTGTTTTTTGTTGTTGTTTGTTCCAGTCTTTCTCCCATCAGATTTGACTAACTCTACCTGACTTGGTCAAATTCGAGTGAGAATTTCAAATTGTAGATAACAAAGCCTTTTTAATTTGGCTAAAATTCCAGCTGCAAAAGAGGAAAAAAACCCTGAAAAAACTATGCACTTGGCTTCTGTGTTCGCTTCCTGTATTAACAAAACAAATGTTCTTTTGCTTACTTTTCCTCCATCCTGAATCTCCTTCCCTCTTTATTCTCTGCCGTACCAAAAAATCTAGAGAGCGCTTCTGATGACGTAAACCTCTTTAGAGAATTCAGAACAAAAGTGCCAATCACCCCTTTTGCAGTGTTGTGTTTTCTATGGGGAGTTTCCAAGAGTCATGGGCAGATTTTTCTTAGGTCTAAAGTTCTGTTTCCCTGCATTGCATGACCTGACCTCTTTGGCTTTGAGGGTACCAGGGATAATCTAGTACTGTGAGAGGATTTGACTTTGGCACGTGTGATGGTAGATGAGAGCTATAAAGTTAAGTGCAGGTAAGTACTGTTTACAGGAAGTGTTCTTGGATGTTGTTTTTTGTTTTTCTCCTAGGAAGTTGTGGAGGATCCTCATTCTAGTTTGGAGATACATTCTAAAGGCTCTTCTCTATTGCTTTTTCTCCCAAAATTAATCTTAATTCAGTTTCTCTGTGTGCATTTCCATGCGGAACTGAACTGTTGTTTTCATAGGTAAATGAGAGACTGAGTTTTCTCAGCTCCAAAGAGAAAGGGCATTTTGCTTCTCTCAGTTGAAAGGCGCCCTGGGTGACCAGGGACCTTGTGGGAGTATCTGGGGTTGACCACTGGTGATGTGCAGTGGCCATACAGAGAAATCTCCAGCAAAAATCAATTTACAAAAGGCTCATCTAGGAAACACATATAAGGGCTGATCACCCGGCATTTTGAGCAGAGGTTATATAAACATATATATATGTAAACTGAGACATGTAAGAGGGTATAAATGACTCAGCGGTGACACAATGTAGAGTCCTGCCCACAAGCAGCATGCACCAATTCACCACACAAAATCTCTAGGCCACAGCTCAGTTCCTCCTTTTAAGAAAAAACTGGGAAACAAATAATCTAAGAATGAGAAGAAACAAGAAGAATGACTTCCATTTGAGCACTCCATAGGTTTTATGGCACCTCTACTTGCCTGAGTTTATGTAAAATGGAAGTAATATCTTTTTGGGCATATTTACACTAAGAAGAAAGAGCCCTAAGGTTGATCTGCAAACTATAGAGTTTCTAAGTTCTCCTTTTCTCTATTTACTTTTCTGCCTGCTTTAAATCTGCTGTTATTTTTCTACTAAGATAAAAACCACTGTTTGAATCCAACAGTTTTTTTTTCCAGTGAATTTGTATTTATCTCATGGCTAAAGTTCTGAAGTAAAAGCTATAGGATCTTTGTGTGTGTGTGTATGTGTGTGCATATATTTAAAAGGCCTTTATAATTTCTATAATTTTATGTTTAATTGGCAATTAAATCCATTTAATTTCCCTCTAGCACACCCGACTTTTTTCTCTCCATATCTTATGATGTAAATTTTGCTATTTGATTTTCACCCGAGTTGTTTCCTTTAATGTACAAATTTAAGGCCGTTTAGCGGACAACTGCCTAAGGTAGTGAAACAGGTTATCAAGAACTTGAAAGTCTAAGATAGTAAAAGAAAATTCTTTATGAATCTATAAGATGTATTTCTATCGACATGCCTAACACACCTATGTATCTATAAGTCATGTATACAAGATTTCACTACTCAAAATATATAAAAGAGTTCTAATTAATTGGCTTAAGAAAATAAAAGTGCTTGAATCAAATACTTTATCAGGAAAAAATAAAAGACTAGTCAAATCCTTTTTAAAGTTTCTGTAACTTAAGTAAAATCTTCAAAAAAATAAGGTAGCTTTAAAATTATTTGTAAAGTAATATAAGAAATGGCTTAAAAATTTCCAGCATACATTTTTGTTTACATTTATTAATCAAACAATTTTGTACTTATCCCTGACAAATACTATAAGGTGTCAAAATTTGACGTAGGGGTTACAAAGCTATAAACCCAGCCCAAAAGAGAATGATCTTTGCTTCTGTAATTCAATAAATAAGACATTGATGTTGGTTTAATGAAAATAGCTACATCTTGAATATAGTGAGATTACCAAAACTTCTAATCTTGTGGCTTTAGGTAGTCTAGTCCACAGGCAGTAAGGCTTGTTTTGGGAAAATACTGCTAAAGTAAGTTCTTTAATCTGAGTTCCTCCCTGTTGCCCAGAAATGGACAAGGAAAGCTTGGAGGTTAGAAGCAAGATGGAATCAGTTAGGTCAGATCTTTTTCACTGTCTAGGTTATAATTTAGCAATGGAGGTTTCAAAACTTTAAATGATTAACTGTCACAATTTTCATAAATAAGCTAGGTAAATGATTAAAATAATTGGGTAAATGTAATGGGATAAACACTTATAGCTAAACTCATTATAATTTATCAACTAAAGTTATACTAAATTAAATGATAGGTATTTCATTATTTGAATATTTTACAATTAAAATATATTGTAGGGAAACATTCTTTCAATAAATATGTGTCCTTTATTAAAAAGTGAATAATTTTTGTCTAATTGAAACTTTATTTAAAGGTTATTTACAAAACAAGGTTAAAAGAACCAGGAAAAAAGAGAGATGTAGAGAAAGTTATGAAAATAAAGAGGTTTTTTTTTGGCAATTGAAATTTTAATTTTACATGAGAAAGAATCTTGTATTGTAAATTTAATCCTAGAATAAAATGACTCATAGTTTAAGAAGGAGAGATATTCAGGACAAACCAGAAAGCCCAAGTATGTCATAAATGGTATGTGTAAGTCACAATAAGAGGATTTATTTAAAAAATTTTTTTATATGATCAAGTTGTCTATAATTAAAAGGAAATTGGCCTTTCTAGAGATTGGGCTTGATGTTAAAGAAAAACACTTACATACTAAATAATTGGCTAGAACAATAAAATTTTCTCAAGGGGTTGGTTTACTCTTAATAAATTATAAGAGATTATATATTTTTTTACCCCAAAGTTCAACTTTTATGACATGACGCTGTTTTTGGTTTTCTCTCCCCTTTTAAAGGGTGAAAAATAGTAACACTTTCATTCAACTCATTTTCAGCTTGTATTAAGTTTTTTTTCCTCAAAGTTCTGTTTGTTGTGACCTGATGCTAATAATATTTTTTTAATGATCTAAAGGAAATGCTTTCTTCCAACATAATATTCTGTGCAGTACAGAGGCTCTTTTCTTTTGCCTTTTGGTAATTGGCCTAACAGATTTGATGATTTATTAGAACAATTCCTATGCCATTATGATAAGTTTTGGTTTGCTTAGGAAAAAAACAGATTAAAAACATTTTTAAATTAAAGTTATTACATCGTGCATCTTTCTTTGTATGCTTTTAAAGTCGTCGTGACATTAAGTTATGCGGCTTTGATTCCTGGGTCTAAAAGGACACCAAGTCCTGTTAAATCTTAAACACTAACAACAATTAAAGCCTCATCTTCAGGCCAGGTAGAAGATGCCAATAAAAATAAACTGCAATCTGGAGATGCAGGGCAAGAAATTAAAGCTATTCAACTCCTTAAAGCCCAGGGACTATTGCAGAGGAGGTGGGCATGTGATATTGTAAGGGCCAATGTTAAGAGCTAAAATAAGCTCAGATTTTCTACAAATTAATTATTAGTGTCAAAGGCACACTGATGCAAGACCAGCATATGGGCCCCTGGATCAGATTAATAAGGTTTTCTTAAAGCATTAACTGATTCCTTAATAAGGTTTTAAAAGGACAATGAAAGTTATATGTTACAGACAAGATTTAAATTTTCTAGGTTGTTTATAAAATTTAGAAAAATTTAACTGACTTCATGCTGTTTTTATTAGGGCTTCTTGTTTAGAAAATTAAGTCTTCTTGTGCAAAGAAGAAAGGTTTTCACCTTTTTTTAAAAAAATCCTTGAGTTATCACTTTTGACAAATGAATGACTTATTTTACAAAGACCTGCGATATTGAGTGTTTTAAACCTTTGATATTTGACAAACTTTCCAAAATCAATGGCTGCCACCATTTCCCAGGAGTGGACTAGTAGGCTTTGGGTCCTGAGGTCTCAAGGAAAGGGGAAACTGAGGTCAAGGTGGGCAGATGCGCTGTGAGTGCAGACCCAGTCTTAAACCCAGCCTTACTGAGGGGGAATCCCTGATCTGAGATGCTCTTGGGGCACAGGCAGATTTGTTATTTCTCCACTTGGCAGATGAAGGGAGGGGTGGCCGGGCTTCCCAGTGCCTCCTTCCACTTGTCCTCATGGCCTCTAGCTCCACAGCATCTACAGGGAGTGGTCAGCAAGGGCTGGGAGGCTTGCCTGGCTGTGGGGAAAGGTGGCATTGCGTGGGAAGTACATGACTCAGAGGCACCAAGGAGACAACTCACCAACGACTTTGCTTTGGGTGAAGATAAATCTGCAAATAACTTCTTTTGGTTTCTTTAGATTCTGAAAGCCATTTCCATGAATAAGCACTTCATACGGTTCTGCAAGGAAAGCATTCAAAAATCTGAGTGAGGAAGAGTGGGGGGCTGCCTCCCCTCTGACCTCCCTGTTCCTGGAGATCCTCCCCCAAAACTGAATTAGCAGAGGCTCCTGAAAGGAAGGAGCTGTGTCTGAACCAACATCTGTGTGTCTACCAAGTCAAATCTTCATCCGGTGTCACTGAGGGTCCAGGAGGAGGTGACTGGGCCTTGAGTACTCAAGGGCTCTGTCCCCATCATCCCTGAACCAACAAGCTCAGGAAAGGCCTTGGCCCCTGCACAGGGCAGGCTCAGCATGCTGTTCCTTCCCTGAAATCTGCGGTGCTCCCTCAGGCCCCAGGGGTGCAGGCCGTGCACTCAGCCAGCTTTCCCTGATGTGAGGTGTAAGTGGAGCCACAAGGCTGCCTGAAGACACCCTGTCTCTTGCCGGAGCTGGGCACCCAGGCCTGGATGCTCCCTTCAGGGCTGCTGAACACTCAGGGTCTCTCCTCCCCATCTTTCTGTGTGCCTGTGGCAGGCAGGACACCCACAGGGGCAGGGATAGGGCCAGGACTTGGGTGGGGCAGGTCAGGCACCTAGGACCCTGCTCAGGGGAATCCATTACAGAAGCCCAGTGTTAGCTGCGATTCCAGAGACCTACAGGTGACTCCTCATCTCCTGTTCTTCCTGACCCGCCAAGGACCACGGGCACCCACCCTGAGGCTCAGGGAGTGTGTCCTCCACCAGTGTGGCTCCTGCCCTGAGCCAAAGACCACAGCGGACACAGGGCAGGTGGGGCTGGCCCCAGGAGCCAGCCGGGGTTCCCACAGGCCTGCAGCTGCCAAGGGCATTGGCCTCCCTGCTGCCTCCTGGCCCAGGCCTGCTCATTCCAATCCCTGCGGATGCCTAGGCTGCCCTGGTCCATGCACCCAAGGAAAGCTTCCTCTGAACCCTGCTTCCTGCCTCCCTGCAGCGCCGTGCCCTCAAGGCGGGCTGTGGCTGAAGCTGGCCTGCCGACATGCTTCCTTAGGCTTTCAAGTATTTTCAAAAATGGGAACCCACAGTTACAAGCCTAAATGTTTCCCCTAAATACCCAGATTTCTAGCTTTTTTGGAGAATGGGAAATGCAGGCCTCAGTGCTTTTGTGTTTCTCCATGTCAGTTCCTGGGTGGGACCTAGGGAACTGCCCTCCTCAGATGAGGAGCTCCCAGGCCCGCCTCACTCCAAGGCCCCTGAAGCTGACTGATGTTATCAGCTGGCTGGGCCTGGACTGATTCACCTGTTCAAGATGCCAGCCCAGCCCTTATGGACATCCAGCTGATAGACACTATGCTATCCTAGGAAGAGCCTGGGCCTGGTGGAGGCACTGAGGCTGTGAGAGAGAGAGCAGGAATGGCCAGCTTGGTGCCCTGTTCTGAACAACCAGACCTGGGCCCCTCAGGACAAGCTTGAGGTCCTCTCCTACCACTAAGGCTGACAGCAGCTCCTTCCAAATCTGATGCTGCCAGGCTATACGCGCAGTGTCTTCCCCACTCAGGCTTCCACAAAGCCCTGGCCATCCAGACACTGGGCTCAGTGTATGCCTGTGGCCTGCACCCCTTGGTCAGCCCAACTCAGCCACCCTGAGCAGGGCTGAGGGCTGTCCCAAAGCTCCACGGATGGGGTAATTGCAGACTACATTCTGCGCTGTGTTTGGACTGTGTATTGCAGGCAAGCATTTTTTTTTTTTTTTTTTTGCCTCAAGGTGGATGAATGAAAAGCAGGGGGTGGGCGCAGTGGCTCATGCCTGTCATCCCAACACTTTGGGAGGTTGAGGCAGGTGGGTCACCTGAGGTCAGGAGTTTGAGACCAGCTTTTCCAACATGGTTAAACTCTGTCTCTACTAAAAGTATGAAAAATTAGCCCGGCCTGGTGGTGGATGCCTGTAATCCCAGCTATTTGGGAGGCTGAGGCAGGAGAATTGCTTGAACCCAGGAGTCCGAGGATGCAGTGAGCCAAGATTGCACCACTGCACTACAGCCTGGGCAATAAAAATGAAACTCCAAAAAAAAAATAGAAAAAGAAAACAAAAGTGAGAAAGGGAGACAGAGACAAAGGCGCATGGGGAAACATTCATTGTAGAATCCCAGTGGTGGATGTAGGTGCGTTTATGTTCATTGTGCAATCCTTTCCATTCACCTATAGATTTGAAAATTATGCCTTAGACATAGACAACTAGAAGACATGGTATAATCTGGGTGACAAGTGGCTGATGGGAAGGACAGACCAAGCCCTTGGGCTGCAGGGAGTCAGAGGGGCTGGTCATCCGGGGGGCTTCCAGGACGAGGAGTCCTTTGAGCAGGGCTGCAAAGGACAGCCCTTCAAGCTGAGGCAGGGCTTGCAGAGTGCCTACGCTCTACCTGGACCCACCTCTGCACACAGGGCCCAGAGCAGGGAGTGGCCCTCCTAAGAGCCTCAGACACCTGCCAGGCTGGAGGAGGAGGTGTCTGCTAAAACCCTCCAGCCATGTGTGGGGGATGGGCTCAAGACGGGCCTAGGGCAGTGAGGCCAACAGAGACCTCTGCCAGGTTGGATATGAGGCCCAGGGCTGAACGGGAGAGTCTGGGCTGTATGCCTCCCTCCCTGACCTCCTTCCTGGGCTCCCTGGAGCCCTCCTGGCCTCTCGGTGGCAGCCTACTGAGAAGGCTCATTCTGTTGCATTGGGGTTCAAGGCTCCTGCCTTGGCCTTTCCCTCCAGTGACTGTCACCCTCTGTGTGGGGCAGCTTTGCCCAAGTCAACGAACAATTTATAGGTCAGGGCTACGACTGGCGGGTCACATGGGCAGAGGCAGAGGGCCAACCTGGTGGGCAGAGGGCACCTGTCACCTCAACTCAGCTGCCTCCAGGGAGGAGTGCCAATTCATATCCTCACCTGGGGTTGACAGGGCTGCTCAGATGCCACAGCCTGTGCATGTCCGGAGACATCATCAGAGGAGCACAGCTGTCATGCTGGCTGCATGGCTGGGTGGCTTTACATCAGGAGCAGCAGAAAGATTCCCTGAGGGGAAGAGGAGCTCTCCCCTCCACCCCCACCCTCAGCACTGCATGGGGGAGAGGCGGGGTGGGGACCAGAGCCCAGGACCTATCATGAAGTGTCAGTGCAGCTCCTGTTCCTGGGACCTACCAGCTCCCAGTCCTGTGCCAGTCCCGCACAGCCCAGTGCCTTGGGGCTCATGACAGGTCTGGCAGCATCCTTTCTGAGCATGGGAGGCACCTCTGGAGCTGGCTGGCATTGCACAATTTGCTCCTGGCCATGTGCCCATGGGGAGCAGCACTCAGACATGGACCATGTGCCTGTCCCCACAGCCCACTGCCAGGGAGCCCTGCAGTGAGGAACCGGGAGGCAAGAGTCCAACTGCTGGAGGGTCTGGTGGTTTTGCTAAGGGCTTTGTGCTGTCCCCATGGAGGGAGGATGCCCAGGGCTCCCCTCCTCTCCAGCAGCCACAGTTGTGCAGATGCCGGTCATGCAGAGCCCCAGCGTGCACAGACAGAGCTCAGGACAGACAGAGGCATCACAGAGGCCTACACAGGGCTGTCACCACCCATGCAGGGACCCTGGCTGGCAGGAGGGCATCCTCGCCACATCCTGGACAGCAGAGATGGGTGCTGTGATTTATCCTGTGAGACTGAGGGAGCCAGGGGTGTTTGTATAGACGCCTTTGTTGGGCTATGGAGGTTTCCTGCTCCCAGGGTGCTGTGGGATGTTGATGCCCGCACTTCTTGTTTGTCATCCCCTGAGAACATCGCCTGGTTCCTGTTCCCCGTTTTGTTGATGTGGTAAATTGCACAGATATTTCAGCTCCTGCACCCGCCTGGCCTTCCTGGCCTGTGGGCGGATTCGCTGCTGCTCCATGCTATTTGCTGGTGTTTCCCTGAGAGCTTCTCACACATGGCTTTTCTGACTTTACAGCTAAACTTACTGTTGTGAGATAACAATACACGGATGGTACACAGGTGCTCACACCATCACCCCCACACATTCCCCCACAGCAATAGACACTCACGTACACACCCACGGGGGCCCCATGTCCACACCCACCCACCCATGCACACTGCACCACAAACACACAACCCACCCCATACCACACACATCACACCCAAAGCACACACACCCAAAGCATGCACACCCACACACCGCACACACACATAGATAGCAAACACACATACAACAAAAATACCAAAGACACACCACATATCCCATACACACACCACTCACATCAGCAACACATTCCCAACTTCCCACACAACACACACACACACACACACACACACACACACACACGACAACACATACCCACACACCAGACACCCTTCCCACACACCAGGCAGCCTTCCCACACACTCCCACAAGACTCTCACTCATGCCACACACTCTGCACATACACCACACACACACACACACACACACACACATATGCATATATGCCCCGTATATACACTCACACCCCCACACACATATTACACAGCTCCTCAGCTCCCACAGAACATATACCCCACAAAACAACACATACAATTGTAGTACTCATGCATACTCCACACACACCACACTCACAGCACATATCCACACCCGACACACAGATCACACACACATTTCCACACCACACAGACCACATACTACACTCTCCCACAGACTTCACACACATGCAGCCTCCCACAGCACACCTTCCCACACATACCACACATCCTGCACCCACGCAAACTGCATACACACAAACCACACACATCAGAGACATGCACAGCACACACACATACCACACTTACGCAGTCCCCACACACATCCTTCCCCACACATACCAAACAAATGCACACCCTCCATATACGCATGCACTCGTGCACACTGCTCTTTGGCTACAGCAGGGCCTCTGTAGCTCTCACCTCCTACACATGCAGTGGGAGGCTCCACCGATGTCACGTCAATACAGACCTTTGACGTGAGCTGGAACACAGGAGGGGTGGGGCGGGGCAGGGGAATGAGCCCCTGGCCACAGGAACCGGGCCCCCAGCCCCTCACATCCACCCAACTCACGGAATCAATGGTGTCTTTCAGGGCCTTGAAGCCATTATCGACCGCAAACACGTTGTCAGGGCTGTCTGCAATTGCTGTTATCTACAGAGAGGGGAAGTGGCCTGGACTCCCGGCCAGCAGGTGAGGATGCAGCAGGCCCCCAGCCCAGGGGACAGTGTCTTGCTCCCATACTTTGCAGACAGCAGAATGTCAGGCTCTGAATATCACAGCCTTCTCCAGTCAGCAGCCCACCCTCGGAGTGTGTCAATCACATCTGCAGTGGCCATGAGTTGGCCCAACTCACTTGGGGCAGCTTAGACAACCGTCCTTGGGATGGCCCTGGGAAAGCCACCATGGATGCCTTTCCCCACTAGGCTCAAAAGTGGCCCCTTCTGCTGTTTGGAATTCCTGTTTGGAATTACCTGGTCCAGACTATAATCAGCCACACCCACGGTGTAGATGTTGGCACCCAGTTTCCGAGCCTTTTCAGCCTAAGGGAAAGAAGGCATTGAGTAATAGTCATCAAAATACGTGGATCAAAATGCTGGTATCTATGAACTGGACTCACTTCTATGAGAGTGTCCCGATATGCAAATGTCACGAGTTCTCCATCAGTCATAGCAATAATCATGCTGGTAGCTTTGTTGTCTGCAAAGAGACAAACAGTGGCCTGCTCAGTAAAGACCCCAGAAGTGACCTCCAGAAGATCCGTAACCCCTGCAGGTGGCGGGGCCCACAATACTGCCCATTCCAGGGCATGACCTGGTGCCCCCACCTCGTCCTCCAGGGGAGAGGCTGCGAAGACCCAAGCACCTGCCACCCAGAGACCCCTAGAGTGAAGGAGGTCTCAGTCCAGCACCCATTTTACAGAGAAGGGACTGAGAGGGGCGGGGTCTTTCCCACCAGGCTGCCTGAACCCTCACCCACTGGCAGCCTGCACCGCCTCTGCCTGAGGACAGCTCCAGCCAGGACTCCACAAGCAAAGGCCTGTTCCGCGGGCAGGGGGAGGAGCCACGGGGCCCTCCTGTAACCCACAGGTTCAGGGAGGCTCCTGGGGGCGGGTCCTGCTGAGAACAGAGCCTGCAGGCAACCGTGCCAGCTTCACTGGGCCCAGGAGTTCAGGACTCCAGGTCAGTGGCATGTGGGCAGGGGACCCCAAGCCACTTCAATGCCTTTCCTCACCAACCCTGCCTTTTCCTGGCAAAAGCTGCAGCCCCACAGTGGGGAGGAAGATTAGGGGTGTGGAAAGCTTTCTGCACCATCTGAGATACGGGCAGCAGATGCAGGACACTTGGAGGGGAGATGAGGAAGGGAGGAGGAGGACTAAGGTGTGTGCAAGGGGGCAAACGCCTTGGCTCTTTTCCCTCACACACAGCCCAGCAGGTGGGCAAGCACCTCAGGGTTACGAGCAGCAGGACTGCACACACAGAATCCTACGCAGCTCTCAGAACCACATGGGGTAGGGGTTTACTACGCTCATTGCACCAGGGGGGACCTGGAGCTCAGAGCAGATGAGCAACTTGCTGCACGAGGAAGGGCAGGCGTGGCCTTGCGAAATCTGCACACAGAGCTCTCTGAACCCCATGCCCAGCTCTGTTTCCCCTACGGGACCACCATGGGGATGGCAGGTGCTTACTTCCGTAGTTGTTCATTTCCATCTGCCGAATTACCTGCAAGAAAATGAAGAAGTATTGAGCCTGGACAGTGAGAAGATCTCACTGATGCACTAAGACCTTGTAAACTAATATTGATTCTTGGAGCTTAAGGAGTCTATACCTTTCTAAATCCTGCCTGCATAAATGTGTCTCCATAAGGAACAATTTTCTCAAGCCTCTGAAGACCCTCCTTTATTCTCTTGCTGAAAAAAATGAAAAATTTTGGTTGACCTGGAAAGACATTGACTGTTATACATCAGCTCCCAAGCTCTCTAGGAGCCACTGTTCACTATGCAGGCCCTCCTGGATGGGGGAGGGGGCCAGGTAAGGGCTCTGTCCTGCTCACTTCTCAACGGGATTTTGACCAGAGATTTCAAGGCCTGCTGAGCTCATCCCAGATCCACAGAATGCAACTCTGGGGAACCTCACCAGGGCCATGCTTGGACCATCTCTGGTGACAGTGGAGGCTCCTGTGGATGAGCAACTGTGAGTCAGGAACTGTAATGGGCCCCCACAGCCCCAAACCCCTGACCTCACTCAGTTTCCTCCTCTCTCTTTACCCGGCTACAGGAAGTAGCGAATCTGCTTAATTAGAGTGCCTGGCCTCCTTGACTTCCTGTGCCCCTGCAGCAAAAAGACCAAAGGCTGGAGAGGCAGCCCCGATGGCTGTGCATGCAGGAGCTGAGCACTGATCTGCAGACTAACTGGGACATGTGGTCTGTTAAAACTGCTGTTAAAGCAGATAGGTTGGGGCAGGCAGGGCTGACTCTGGCGGCAGGACTGGGACAGGCCTGGGACCGGCCTGGGACTTAGGGTCAGGCTAAACCAATGTGATGGGCTGATCCTGCGCAGCAAGGCTGGTCAGAGCATGGACCATGAAGGCTGGCTTCCCACTGTGGACAGAGTCCCTGCCAAGGCTGGAGATCTGAGAGCCGTGCCCTGCCCAGCCCAGGACGGGAGCAGGCCAGGCCCACCCATACCCAGAAGACGCCAAGCCCTGGCCTTCCTCTGGCCATGCCCAAACCCCGCTCCCCATCCTCCCCCACAGACTTGTTTTACCACCTCTCACCCACTCCAGTCTCTCCCAAACCCACAGCACAAGACACACAGATCCAAACTCCCCACAGATCCAGATGCCACAGCCCACCCCATATTCCCTCAAAGCTGCAAGTGGGGCCCAGGCCCCCATCCAGTCCTCAGTGTCCTCACCTCTCTTCTGCGCTTCACCTCCTCTGGGCCCAGTTCAGGTCCTGCGCCTTGGAAGTGCCCTCAGCTCCCGCCACACAGGAACTCTGCAGTGCCCCCTGCCGGGCCCGGGCACCTCTCTAGGCCACATCCAGCCTCCTGAGCTTGCTCCTCCTGCCTCCCTCCAGTTTCCAGCCTGGCCTGGAGCTTAGAACCCCACCCAGGGACTCCCCTGTCTGGGCCTGCCATCATCTCTGCACTAAAGAAAGCCCCAGGACTCCCACCACCGGCTCTGGCCCTGTCTCCCTCCCGCACTGGCCAGGGCAGGGGGAACAGGCACAGAGCAGCAGCCAGCACAGCTGAGTGTTCACAGGACACACACGCCCGCCCCGCCAGCTGCTGCACCTGGGAATCCTCACAGCCACCTCCCAGGGAAGGAGGCAGGGCAGAGGGAGGGTAGGGGAGGGTGAAGAGGGGGAGGCTGAGAACTTCTGCAGCACAGGGGCCTGCAGAGAACCTTGCAGCCACGGGTAGGAGGATGCAGGGGAGCCGGGTAAGGTCAGGGCGGGTTCTGTGAGTTGCCCTGACCGGCCTGCCCTGTGTGCTCTCAGGAGTCCTAACCAAGGTCTCAGGGAGCCCCTCAGCTTCCTGGAGTTCCCTCTGGCCCAGCTCACCGGGCCTCCCTTGGGGGCTCCAACCAACTCACCTTTCTGAGGTGAGTGCCAAGACAGTGTCTCCGTCTGTGGAGTAGGTGACAAAAGACATCCGTATTTTTGGGCTGAGGAGGAATCAAGTGCTGGTGAGAAGCCAGAGGCACCGGCTCAGGAGCCAGGACTGTGAGACCAATTCCCCACCTCCCACCCAACTCTTCCGCTTTGGGGCCTCTTGCTGGACACAAGAGGGTGAGATAAATGTAGTGGAGCACTCTGAGGCCTGTGGAAACAAGGGCCCCACAGAAGAGAGAGTCAGGATGGCGACTCACTGCATCCCACACTCCCAACACCCCAAAGACACTTGCACATGGACACATGCACACACAGAGGCACACACACACATGCACATACATACTTATGCACACATACAATCACATGCACAACACACACACACAGGTACACACACCACACACATGCACCCACACATGCACACACTCACACGTACCCACACCAGGCACATGCACACACAAACACACACATACACATACCCTACAATGAACAGGCAGGGAGACATACACACAGCCCTCCCAGCTGGCCTCCCTTCTACTAGAAAATTCTTTGCCTCCTCACCCTGTTCCCTCCTCCTCGTCCTCTCTCTCATCCCTCCTCCATCTCAGAAGAGCGACTCTCCCTATCAGCTGCCATGCACCCAGCCCCCCTTTCCTCTCCCTGACCCTCCTTCCTGCCGGCTGACCCTCACTGGCCCTCAGCGACAGTGCTGCCATACGTCCCCAGCGGAGTGTCCCATGGCTCCTGCCCTTGTTGCCCATTCATTTTACTTGCAGTCATCAGACTTTTCTTCCTTAAGTGCCATCTTGATCATGTCACTCCCCTGCTCAAGAGGTTTCTCTGGCTCTCTATGGCTCACAGCAGGAAATCCCAGCTACTTGTTCTGGCAAAATGAGCCTCTGTGGCTTTGGCCTCAAGCTGACCTGCCCAGTCCTCTCCTAGCCCTCCCTGAGCTAACCCCATTCCCAGCCAAGCCAGACCACTCACTCCACTGCAGGTCCCCTGTCTTTCCCATCCTGCAAGACCCAGTTCAAAGACCCACCTCCCTGGAAACCACCCTTGACTTTGGTTTCCTTTAACCTTCCATGTGAGTTCTTTGTCTCCTACTTGAACCCTCAGCATTGTGTAATTTGGGGTTCCAGGACTGAGTCACTGGTTTACCTGCCTAATGCCCCTTCCCAGTCTGTGATGTCCCCAAGGGCAAACAGCCTTCCCTAAAATATGCCCAGGTTCATAGGCAGGAGCCAGCCCAGAATGCCAAGACCTGATGGATCCAGTGAGTGCTGGCCTCATTCCTGCTTCAGAATGCCACCCTCTACTCTGTGTCCCCCACCAAGGGACTCCCACACCTACCCCATCTGATGGCATGTACCCTCTGCCTGCCAGAGGAAAAGCTCCCTGCAGCTCAGGGGAGGCTGCCATGCAGAGATCCATACCTTTGGAACCTCTTCACTGTTTCCTCCACCCACAAATAAAGGTCAACCCAGTTGTTGTTCACGCTGCCAGACCTAAAACAAAGGGAGATGTGGGTCAGGGAGATGAGTGCATCTGTCACGTAGGCAGGTGTCTACCCTCCCCAGTCTCCCAGTAGGCTCTTAACAAGTTCTCCTGACCCCAGCACCACTGAGGCTGGGGTACACACCCAGTGACCACTGGATCATCCGAGGTCATGAGTTTCACCAGTTGAGTGGCCACCATAAGGTGACGACCCAGCCCCATCTGCCTGGGACTGAGGAGCTTCCTGGGATGTGGGGCTTTTGTTGGCCATCCAGGTGGCTGATCAGGTTAGGTGGGGCACTGTGTAGAGAAGAAATTCAGGTGGATGTATTGGTTGGAAAAACCCCTAATGAACAATCCAAATAAGGAAAATCAACAAAAACAGTTTCATTTATGATAGCATCAAACAGAACAAAATACTTAGGAATAAATTTAAACAAGGAAGCGAAAGAAATGTATACTGAAAACTATAAAACATTGCTGAAAGAATTTAAAGACACAATAAATGGAAAGATACTGCATGCTTATGAATCAGAAGACACAATAATAATATTGTTAGGATAATGTAATCTGTATCAAAATATCTACAGCGCTTTTTACAGAAATAAAAAAATTCACAATAAATTTCAAATGGAATTTCAATAGTCATAAAACAAAAAAATCTTAAAAAAGAAGAGCAAGTTTGAGGATACACACACACTTCCTGAATTCAGAATTCGTTACAAAGTAGCAGTAATCAAACTATTATGGCACTGACTTAAGGACTGACATGTAGAGCAATGAAAAGAACAGAGAGCTTATAAATAACCCTTCATGTCTGTGGTCAAATGATTTCCAACCAGTGTGCAAAGAACTTTCAAAAAACGGGTGTTCATGTGCAAAAGAATGAAGTTGGATCCTTCCATCCACCACTACAGAAATTAACTCAAAATGAGTCGAAGACCTAAATGTAAAGGCTAAAACTCTTAAACTCTTAGCAGGAAGCATAACCTTTATGCCACTAGATTTGTGGATTTTTGTTTGGATATGGCATCAAAAACACAGGCAACAAAATTAAAAATAGAAAAGTTGAGACCGTATCCAGATTAAAACCTTTCGTGCATCCAAGGACCCTGCCAAGGAAGTGAAAAGATCACCTGCAGAATGGGAGAAAATATTTACAACTCATATACCTCATAAGGGATTAATATCCAGAACAGACAAAGAACTCCTGCAACAATGACGAAAAAGAAACGACAAAAAAATGCAACACATAAAAAATGGGCAAAGGATTTGAATGCAGATTTCTTCAAATAAGATATGCAAATGGCCAGTAGGCACATGAAAAGATGATCAACATCATTAGTCACTAGGAAAACACCAGTGAAAGCCCAAAGGGGATACAACTTCATACCCATTGGGGTGGCTATTACTAAAAACCAGAAACTAATAAATGTTGGACCTTTGTTTGTTAGAATGCAAAATGCCACTATGGGAAACACCTTGGCATTTCCTCAGAAAGCTAAACATAGGATCACCATAGGATCCACCAATTCCACTGCCAGGTATATACCAAAAACAAGTGAGAGCAGGGACTCGAAGAGATACGTGTACACCACTGTTCATAGCAGCATAACATTATTAATAATAGCTAAATGGCGGAAGCAACCCAAGTGTCCATCAACAGATAAAAAGATAAACAAAATGTGGTACATGTCCATACAGAGAAGTATTATTCAGCCACAAAAGGATGAAATTCTGATGGATGATACAACGTGGATGAACCTTGAAAACATTATGCTAAGTGAAAAAGGCTGGACAGAAAAGGCCAAATGTTATATGTTTGTGTGATTCTATTCTATGACTCCACTTACATGAGGTACCTACAATAGGCAAACATATAGGTAGAGAAAATACACTAAAGATAACTAGGGCTTGGGGAAGGGAGGAATGGGGAGTTATTGTTTAACGAGAATAGAGGTTTTTTTGGGCTTTTGTGGGGGTGGGGTGGTTTGAGACAGGATCTCAATCTGTCATCCAGGCTGGAGTGCAGTGGTGTGATCTTGACACACTGCAGTTTCAACCTCTCAGGCTCAACCGATCCTCCAGCCTCAGCCCAGGCTGAGTAGCTGGGAGTGGAGGCGCACATCGCTATGGCTGGCTAATTTTCATATGTTGTGTATAGACAAGATTTTGCATATTTCCAAGGCTGATCTTGAACGCCTAGACTCAATCAGCCCTCTTGCCTTGGCTCCCAAATTGCTGGGATTACAAGAGTGAGCTACTGCTTCCGGCTGAGAATAGCTAGAATGATGAAACACAATGATGTTGTGTTCAGTACACACGATGAAACGTTTCTGGAGATGGATGGTGGTGGTTGCACAACACTGTGAATATACTTAATGCTCCTGAATTGAACACTTAAAAATGGTAAATTTTTGCTGGGCGCAGTGGCTCATGCCTGTAATCCCAGTACTTTGGCTGAGGCAGGCGGATCATGAGGTCAAAAGATCGAGACCATCCTGGCTAACATGGTGAAACCCCGTCCCTACTAAAAGTACAAAAATTAGCTGGGTGTGGTGGCATGTGCCTGTAATCCCAGCTACATGGGAGGCTGAGGCAAGAGAATTACTTGAACCTGGGAGGTGGAGGTTACAGTGAGCCGAGATTTTGCCACTGTACTCTAGCCTGGTGACAGAGAGAGACTCCATCTCAAATATATGTACACACACACACACACACACACACACACATATATATCTATATATATACATATATAGTACTTTTTAAAAAGTACTATTTCCCACGATTAAAAAATTACTAAAAAAAATACCAGGGGTCACTGCCTCTTAGAGCCCTCAAAGTTCACCTGGCCAAGAATGGGAGCACATGGGAGGCTGACTCATTTTCTTCTAATTCTATCCAAAGAATGAACAAATGAATAATAAGTCTCATGAATAAGCGGGACATGAATGATCAAAGAGCCTCCTTGCAGACTGTAGCCATTGTTTCTGCCTGGAGGACTACCACAAGATGCTCAGGGTCTTGCCCAGCTGCATGGTCTTTGGATGGGCTTTGGAATCACACAGCTCAGAGTTTCAATTCAGTGCCATGGATGTCTATCTGGAGGCTGCGGTGGGTCATTCTCTGGCTCTGGGCTGCCTCATTGTCTCTCCTTACAATGGGGCAATATCCTTTACCCCCAGCCTTGTTAGGTAGGCTCACTAAAGTTGCTTTTGTTTGTTCTCTTTACTTCCACTCTAGGCACTCCCTCTGCATTTCCCCTTATCCGATTGTCTGGGATTGCATCAGGGCCTCTGCACTTCCTGTGAGTTTCCAGCCTGTGATTCTGCCTTGCCTGGCAGGTCCCTTCATTCCCCTCCTCTGTCACCACTTCTGACCTGCAAACCTCTCTTCATCCTCATCACACTTGGCAAGGTGAAAATGAAGATACCCTTTTTACAGATGGGGACATGAAGGCACAGAAAGACGAAGCAACTTGCCCACGACTCTGTGGCTAGTGAGTGGAGTCTTCCTGTCTCCAGAACTGAGTTTCTCCTTCCCCAGGAGCAGCCAAGCAGCCAAAAACCATAGGAATTGGTGGGCTGGGGTGCACACCCCCCTAAGCATTAGTATCCAGGGGAATGACAAAAATCAGAGGGACCTCAACCTGCGATGCTGGAAAGAGTGCACACAGGAAGCTGAGTCCTGCCACACCAGCTGTCTCTGGGTGCTTCCCCATCCTCCAGGGCCACGCTTGTTCAGGAACCAGATAGAAAAATACCTGCACTACTCACAGCCCAGGATTGTGGTGAGGGTGCCGGGAGTGCAGGGGAAGGACTTTGGAGACCAGAAAGTGCTCCCACGTTCTCCTGAAAATTGCACCGCTGCTGCTAGTGAATAGCAGAGTGTATTCCCACCCAGCAGGAGGAGCGGAAAACGGAACCAAGGCAATCTCTCCAAAGCTGAACATTTGCCCATTTCCTTCGGTGAGCCAGAAGGCGCCTAATGCACAGCCCAGCTTCCCCAAGGCCACCCTGAAACAGACCAAACTGTTACTGAAAGCGCAAGAACTGCCGTGTGGCTCTCCAAGTTGCAGAAGAAGCACTTAGAAGCAGCCATCCAAAGGCCTTCTCTAAGCAGTGACATTAGAATACCCAACACAGGCAACAAAGCAATCTCTCTGGGGCCCAGTAAAATAGAAGTTATTTGTGTGAAAAAACAAACAAGCATAACAACACAAAACCCCCAAATATCCACAGTGAGCCTCCTAGAACTGCTGACAGGCAGGTCCAAGCAATCAGCTGTTGCAGGGGCCTGAGGATGAGGATGCTGACTGAGCTGATGGAGGGACAGGGAATCATCTAGAGCTTTGGTGGCTTTTTTCACCATTGAAGAGACAAAGTGCCAGGGAAAAGACAGCCAGGGGATTCTTTCTGCTTCAGTAAATAGGAGGCCTAGGTCTGGTCTGACCAAAGTGTTGGCCCTGCTTCTCTGACAGGACCTTGCATCTCCCTGGGTGGTGTCCTGTCCCTAGTGAAAAAGAGGTGGTGGCTCTTCAGGGCAACCCAGGACCAGAGCTGGAAGGGACACTCACTTGTCCAAGATGAAGTAGAGGTCAAATGAACCCGTGCATTTGTGACCCTTTCCCTCTTGCCCCTGGCGCCAGTGCGGCCCGCCGCCGAGGCCGCTGCGGTGATGGGCCCTCCTGGAGCCCAGGGCCAGGCGGTGGAAGATTCTCCAGCCAGGTCCATGGTACTGAAGCCTTCCTGCTCTAAAAGCTGGCAGAGGAAGCAGCAGCAGCAGCAGGAAGAGCAGGAAGCAGGGTCCCTGGGGGCTGTGGCTCCCCATTATCTGGCCATCTCTGTAACCCCACCTCACTCTTGGGTCCCTGTGTGAGGGGCCCAGATAGGCTCAGCTCAGGCCACCTGTGGCCACCTTCTCTGCCGCCGCCCCTCGTGCCTAGGGACCACAACCCCTTCTCCTGCCCTGTCACCAGTGCGCACTGCAGCCCTCCGCCAGGTACCTCCCCAGATCGCAGGGACTAAGATCGCAGGGACTAGGCTCTGGCAGACCTGCCTTCAGCTACCTGCCTGGCCCTTCCCCCACCCTGGGGACAGAATTCTCTGTTATGATTGACAGGAAGGTTGACATGGTGACTTTGTGACCTGCAGCTCTTCCCAGTGTCCTGCATGTTGACAACACCAGGAGGAGGCACAGGACCTTTGGAGGGGCTACAAAAGGAACCCTCCATTTCCCTTACCACAGCCCTCACAGTGTCCCTTAAAACCCCCAGACCCTGCCATTTGTTCACTAGAAGAGTTAGCCCAGGTGACTTAGGTGAGGACATCACCGTGGGTGATGAGGTCAAGGACCGGGAGGGCAGAGTGTTGGCAGAGAGAGATCATTTGTGTGATGCTGAAGTCCCCCAGGGGATGGCAGATCTGAAAGGAGATGGAAACTGCAGTGTTACCAGTGTCCTTGTGAATTAGGGATATTTCGGTTCTCTACTGCTGTACACCAGACCACCCCACACTTAGAGATGCAGAACAAGGCCCATTTTATCATGCTGACAGGTTCTGAGGATCAGGCATTCAGAGCGGAGTGGGGAGGGCTCCACATGTCTGGGGCCCCCCGATGGGAAGGCTTAAGCAGCCCAACATGACTTGAATTACCTGGAGGCTGCTCCACTCACAAGTGTGGCTTCAGGGCAGGAGGGCTCAAAAGCTGGGCTCAGCTGGACTGTGAATGGAGGCCCTGCACGTGGGCTCCCCGTGTGACCTGGGGCTCCCTCCCAGCATGGCAGCTTCAGGGTGCTTGGGCTTTTACAGGTGGTTCAGAGCTCCATAGTGAATATTTTCAGTGAGCAAGGCAGAAATTGTAGAGCCTTTGATGACATCACCTTGGAAGTCACAGTGTCACTTCCACTGGATTCTATTAGTTCAAGCAGTCACAGCTGCCAAATCAATGGGAGGAAACACGGGACCTTTCTCTAGGAGAGGAGCGTCTACAGTGTCACAACTGCTGTATGACCAATGCTTTGAATGGCAGAGAGGTTACAGAGTGTGGAAAAATATGGGCACCAATTAGTGAGCTTCAAACAGGACTCAGAAAAGTCAGACTGTGACTATTAGAAACATTGTAACCAATTTTATTTTATTTTGTATGCACAAGAGTGATGTACCATTAAAAATCCTTCTCTAAAAAGTCAAAAATATATCTTTCAACATGTGTAACATACAAATGGTAAAAACTATTGGGTTGGTGGATTTTTGTTTGTTTTTTGATGTTTTTTGTTTTGGAATTGTATTTAATGGAGTATCTTAAATAAGGGGCATTTCAGAATGAATGAAGCCTGGTATATTTCCTTCAAAAGCATATTTGAGTTTATCTTGCTTTATATTCCTCTTGACACTTGGTATTAGCATGCTGTAATATTTTTACCTGCTGGTTAGTCATCTCCTTGTGGTTTACTTTTGCAAGCAAGAATTCTTCTTATGTTTTTTCTCCTAAGGTGACTTCTTGGCCATAATTCTTTGCATCCCCCCTCCCTTAACTCCAACCCTCTCTCTGTTCATCTTGTAGTGCCCCATTATTCTCATCCGGGGCTTGGGCTAGGCGCTGGCATCATCGGCCTAGATCCTTTCCCCAACGTATTATATCCAAAGATCTGCACATGCAACCCGTTCAGTGCCTTTCCTGGGAAAAGAATACATAGATGATGGAATTATAAACCTCTGAATTGGCAGGATTACCTGAAAGAAAATACCTGGTTTTAGATACAAGACAATTGAATCCTTTTCTTGACATTTTGCCTTTACTCATAGAAGGACACACAGCACAGCAGGAAGCTAAGCCTTGCAGAAGCTTTTAGGGGACATTGCCACCCATGCCTCCTGTGCAATGCCAGGTGCAGGGGAGATGGGGACAGGATACAGACCTGGGTTGTGGGAAGACAGTGGGAGGCCAAGACTTTGCACTTGCAACATTTGGGTGAGGCTGACTGGCAAATAAGAAATTCACAGTAAATTTCTAAAATATGTAGTTGCCAATGGCACTGATGTGCAGAAACAAAATTCCCTAACTACTCTTGAGGGAGACATTAGACATTTAATAAAAGTAATTGTGGCATTTGAAGTTAATGTTTTTCTATACATTAGGTAGAGGACCAAGGTGGAAATAGTTAATGTTATTATAAAAGATTGTTTTAGATGCATACTAAGTGAAAAAATTTAGAAAAGCAAGTCTGATTCATTTTGAGGGACAAAATGGAAACATTGTATACCTTGGCAATTTTTTGCTTGTTAAAAATTTAATCTTGTCATAGCGACATGATTTCATTTTTAGTGATATTTTAATGATATTTCTGAATGTTCAAACACACACACAAACATAAGATATATATATGTCTGCTGTGTGTGTGTGTGTGTGTGTGTGTGCGTGTGCATCTGGTATACATATATCAAATCCTTGCTTGTTTTTGAAGATGTTAATTACCAGCTAAAGCTTAAAGCTTTGCCTCCTTAGAAATAATTGAACCTGGTATTGTGGTATATTGTGATCTTTAATGATACTCCAGCTTTGGACCAGATTCTGTGGAACATTGCTACCCTGCCCTGCACACCACCCCTTGTGACTCCTGGAAGTCCAGGTCCTTTGTCGCATGGAAAGGATGCAAACCACGTGCTGCAGCAGGCTCTGTGCCACTCCTGATGCCCTTTCCAAGTGTATTCCTCAGAGGGGGTGTCTGACAACAGAGATGAATTTCAGCCACTGTCTCCCAAAGAGGCAGATGCAGAAACGTCACCGCTCTCAGTGACCCTGAGCAAAGCACTCAACCTCTCTGAGCCTCAGGTTTCCATCTGTAAAATGGGCTCAGGCTAAGTTGTCTCTCCAGCCCTTCCCAGACCTACCTGTCTATGACTAATTGGAGGAAACCAGTTCTCCCCCTTTCTCCAGGAATAACTGGTCTGCTTGAAGGTCCATTGCTGAGCTTCCATGAGGTCATACAGAGAGACAGACACACTCACACACACACACTCACACACACTCACACATACAGTGCCCGTCTGTCCCTTGCCTACAGACTCACAGCCTTCCTCTTATTCTAGGATCTTTCCCAGTGTAAACACCAGATTTGAGTCTCATCCACCTCCAGGCTTCATCCCCAATGCCTCTCAGACAGCACCTCAGATGGGAGATCTCACTCCAGGTCACACCATGCCCTGGCCAGGGCATTCTATGGGTCAGGACCCTGAGCACACACACAGCAGCCCAGCACTGCTGGTTCCTGCTTTCCTCCAGGGACCCGCCTGCACCCTTTGCACCTGCAGATCCTCCTCCATTCAGACCGCTGTGGGCACAGTGGAGATGCGCCTTCCTCCCCTTCACAGACACCAGCTGCCCTAGACGGCGATGGATCCTTGCAGCCCTTGTTCTCCTTGCTCTGAACATGATATGAAAAGATGCTTTGTGATCGTCAGCTCTCCTCAGTAGGCTCAGTGCATGCCCGGGCTCTCGCCCCCTGATACTCTTTAGTGGTCCTCATCACTCTGTCATTGTGAGTGTCCTGGGGAGGGCTCTTCTTGGCTCTCATTCCTCTGACCTCAGCAAGACATCCCTCTGAACCACACAGACATCTCTTGTTACCACCCCACGTCTTTCCTAAAAATAACCAGATTTAATTCCAGGACTCCCCTACTGCTTTCAGAGCCCGCAGACCACAGGAAATCAAGTGATGATCTTTGAAACTTTCTGAAACTGAGCTCCCCAAGTCTATGGGGGATTTTACCATGTCCAGCCTTCCCCACCAACACAGGACAGATCTCCCCAAGGCTTCCAACAGACCTGGGACACTAGTCAGGGTCCCCTATTACCCAACTCAGCAGGTGTTGCATCCTGGGAGATGAAGCCTCACCAACCCCACTATGTTAAAAGCTTGTGATTCTTGGTTTATCACCCATCCCTTGGGCCCTGACTGCACACTGATCATTCCCTCATCTGGGAACCCCTGGCCACATTCTCCCACATTGCCTGTCTGTCTATACCTTAACCAGGTTGTCCTGGGTAACCGGGACTCCAATCCAGCTCTTCTGTATCTAACCTGTGACCTTGGGTAAATTTGGATCCTCTCCATGCCTCTACTTTCTCACCTGTAAAGAAGGTCACCTTGGTGCTCTCTTCACTGGGTTGTTGGAAAGATTAGAAGGATTGATACAGAGAAAATGCCAAGGAGCCTGGCTCAGTAAACGTAAGAGGGATCAGTTCTTATCACACTGAGTGCAAAGGGACAGAGTCCACCCCATGGCAGCCTTCCCGTTACTCCTGAGCTCTCAGGGACCAGCGCCCTACAGTGGTTAATGAATGAACAAGCAGCCTGGGCATTGTTCTCCTTCCCACTCTACCTACAGAGCAAAGAACTATTGGCAAACAGCTGGATGACCGCTTTTTCCTGAATTGTCTGAAGGCGCTTCCTGCCCCAAGCCAACTGGCCAGCCTCCAGCTGTTCTGAGCTGCAGGTCAGGCACCAGATCTTATTCAGAGACACCATGTACTCCCCACCCCCCACGCAGTGCTTTGCTGCATCTGCCTTTCTCTTCAGCTAAAACACACAAGAGCAGAAAATACCTCGTCTTCCAATCCTCTGGTGTCCCTAGTCTCTGAAGAAGCTCCCCAGATCCTTTTGGAATATTCCAGGGACAATCATCTACAGGCCTTTTCTGCATTTGGATTGTGAGGTCCTAGGGTTTCCTAAGAAAGGGGGTACACCTGTCTCCAGGCATCCCCCTGGCTCTGGCACACTGAGGAAATTCAACACTGAAGGTGATCCAGGCTTTCCCAGAGGCTCGCTG